CTTCAGCTTCTTTCGTGTCTCTTTTATCTTCCCCATCCATTCTTCCATCTTGACCCCCATATGTAGTTATACCCATGTGTCCTTCTACTTAATTACCTGTAGTGTACTTACTGAATACATCATTAATTGATTAGAATAAAGTTATAGTTGTCTTCATAGGCAATAAAACCCATGGGTATCGTGCCAGCAACCAATACTCAACCCCTGCAGTACCCGTACCTGCAACCCCACAGGTTTACCCATCAAAACAAGCCTAGAAACATTGAAATCGGCCAGGAATTGAGCAAGTTATGGCTGATTTCGATGAATTTTACAAAATCAGCCATAACTCCCTCAGTTCTGGTCCGAAAAATATGTTTTTAGGCTTGTCTTGAAGCTCGTGGGTAGGGCTATCCTAATGCGTTACCGATACCTGTAACCTGTGCGGGTTACCCCAACCCTTGCCATTGCCTATGTCTTTGTGTTAATAGGTTACTTAGGCTCATTTACAGTATATTCTACTACTAGTTGAATAATATGTACATACAAAAGCCAATTTTATTTGTTTTGAATGAGCTAGCATGTGTGGTTGATGAGGCTCAAAATCCCGGCTCTAGCCGGCTCAAGCAGCAACCAAGCCAGATCCATCAGCTCAGCTCGGCTCAGCTTTAATTTCGGCTCAGCTGTGGCAACACTACCCAGCACTATTTTTCATTGCAATATTTTTGGTATTTCATTTCTGCCCAGCACTATTTTTCATTGCAATATTTTTGGTATTTCATTTCTGCCTAGCACTATTTTTCATTGTGATATTTTGGGTATTTCATTCCTGTCTAGCACTATTTTTCATTCCGATATTTTGGTATTTCATTCCTCTCTGGCTCTGTTTTTCATTGCTTGCCTAGGGTAGGGATGATGACACCTAGGAGGGTAGTCACATGACCAATTGCCAAAAATGGTCAAAAATGAAAGTTATAGCCTTACACTGTAGCTTCCCAAATCTGTTCAAATTATATTCTGAAGTGCTCCCATTGTGGAGATATGAGGTAAAGGATTTTCAAAAGTGTCGTGTTTTTTTTTTCTTTTTTTTTTTCTTTTTTTTTTTGCATTTTTCTCCATGAAAACAAAAGCAAACAACATGATTTCAGTATATCTAGAAAGCTAAAAGGAAGGGCTACAATTATTGTATCATGGGAAAAATGACCAAAAAAGGAAGGTGCATGCCCTAGAAAAGAAATTGACACTGACAGACTATAAAGAGTCTACCATAGACTACAAAGTTTACTGATAAACTACAAATGACTACAAAAGTCAGACTTAGACTACAAAAGCTTGGACTTAGACTACAAAGTTAGGGTTAGGGTTGAAAACTTATCCAGACTAAGGTAGACAACTTTCATAATCATCAAACATCATGTGACCAATGTGACAGCTGCTAAAACACTGCAAACATTCCAACATACTGATGTGAGAATATTTTGAGAGTATTTTGATGGTACATAATTTTTTCCCAAAATACCATCCACCAGGTATGTGATTGGTATGAAGATATATATTTTATTACCCACACTGAAGTATCTGATTAGTATTTTGATTGTATTCAAATGTTTTTCCTCAATACTGGCTCACATACTAGAATAATACTTCTATCACAGTATCTTAACTTTGAACAAAATATCTTCAACATACTGATTGACCAATATTTTAAGAGTATGATTCTTCAGGATAAGATACTTTGAAAATATTATATATAATATTCAAAAGATACTTGTATGATACTAGAGAGTAGATATAAAGGGAATATCTTGAAAGTATGAAAATATATCACATTTTTATATTGAATACTAACATGATATTAAGCAGATACTCATTAAAGATGACCAACATACTGAGATGCCAGTATTGTGCTAGTATCAAGAAGAAACAAACAATACCGTCTGACAGGTATTTTGTTGGTATGGAAAAAATATGAGAGTGAAATATCTATATACTATTCAAATATTGCAGGCAGAGTATCCAAATAGTATGCTACAATATTTTATCATACTGTTTGAAAGCTACATTTCATACTTTTATAATAAAAGCATAATACTGGTGTATGGAAATTCAAAAAGTATGTGAAGGGTATGATATTGAACAGAATTTTAAAATCAACAATTTTAATGTGAGGATTCAATACTAGATGAGAAGTAATGAAGATATATCATAATATTATACAATATAATATCATGTCAGTATCAGAAGGGTATACAAATTTCAACTTGGTAATTTTGAGGTGGGGGTTAAATACTAGTTGAATACTTGAAGAGGAGTATTGAAAGTATATCATAATACTACACAATATAATATAAGAATGGTATCAGATAGGTATAGTAATACAAAATGAATAGTTTTAATGTGAGGATTAAATACTAGTTAAATACTAGAAGAGGAGTATTGGAAGTATATCATGATAGTATATAATATAATATGAGAATAGTATAAAATGGGTATACTAACTCCAATGATAAGAAGAATTGTACTTATATGATAGTATAGTGTGGATATAGAGATTGGTATGAGAGTAATAGAATAGTATGATTGAAGTATGATAATAATACCTTGCTTGTTTGAACAATGAGAGAGTATCGAAATGTTTTTTATGATAGAAGATATCATCATACTAGACAGAGTATTGAGTATAAATTGTATACATGTATCTATCCATGTATAATTGTATAATTGTATTCATGTATATGTATCCATATATTCATGTATTCACATATACACATATTCTTGTATTCAGGTATCTATGTATACACATATTCTTGTATCCTTGTATTCAGGTATTCACATATATGTGTATCCTTGTATTTAGGTATCTATATGTATCCACGTATACATATATTCTTGTATCCTTGTATTCAGGTATCCACATATACACATATTCTTGTATCCTTGTATCCATGTATTCATGTACAGTTGAGTGCAAAAAGAATGAAGGTTGGTTCATTTTTCTGGTTCTTTCTAAGAATCTATTGTACCTCAAATGTATTTGTGTATTCTTTTACATTATGTAGTTGTGTTACACTTCCCTTGGTATGGACTAATTTCAGTGAAAGCTGGAGCCTTGAGAAGGTTTTTATTCTGGAGGCCATTTTTGGCATCTAAAAAAAAAAATATGTGCTAACTGGGGAGGTAGCCAGAACATACCTCTGGTCAACCTGAATGAGCCTATCAAAGAATTAGTTAAAAATACTGAATGGTTATGCTTGTACAGCCTCCAGAAAATGGTTATTTTGTGCTATTTTGGTCATTTTTGGCCTGTTTTAGACAAAACAAGCCATTTTCCAAAGCCTCTACAGACCTAACCGCTCAGTATTTTTGACTGATTCTTTGATAGGCTCATTCAGGTTGACCAGAGGTATGTTTTGGCTACTATCGCAATGAAAAATAGTGCTAGGCAGAAATGAAATACCAAAAATATTGCCATGAAAAATAGTGCTGGGCAGAAATGAAATATCAAAAATATTGCAATGAAAAATAGTGCTAGGCAGAAATGAAATACCAAAATATCGCAATGAAAAATAGTGCTGGGCAGAAATGAAATAAAGTGGGGGAAAAAAATCAAATGAAATCCTGGGGAGGAATGAAATAGAAATGAAATTGCAATGATATAAAGCCTTGGGAAGAAATGAGATGCATTTCATAAGGTTTGCCTTATGTATTTCATTTCATAAAAAGCTAGGCAATGATCAAATTGCTGTGCAGGCAATTGACTGTAGTTTATCATAAAAGTGGTAGGGACCACTCCTGGGATGTTCTTCGCTCACAGATTCAGGCAGATCTCAAGAAAAATGTGAAAAAACTCGCACTTTCACATATCAACAAGTTGATGATTCTGTCCAACTTTGCCACTCTTCATCTAAAAGGCCACTCCCATATTGATGTGAGTTTGCGAATTGCAGAGCAGTGGCACGATTGAGATGGCACATGGTTTGCTCAAAGGGTTCGTGCGCTTGCGCACCACTACCAGGTTTTCGAGCAACTTCCTATTGAACATCATGGTGGTCTTAGAAATGCTAGAACCCTGTTGAAGGATGAGCTTGTCAAAAAGGGGATTCTCAATTACCTTCAGAGCTTACCTACTGGAAAGGTTACACCAAAGAAAGCTACAGGTAGCCGTCAGCACGGAAATTCTGCCAGATTTGGGGATCACACCCAAAAAGCCCATTAGCACTTGGACTGCTCATCACTGGCTTATCAAACTTGGTTGGCGATACACACAGGTCAAGAAAGGCATTTACATGGATGGTCATGAGCATGCTGACATTGTTGAATATTGCCAAAACAATTTCCTTCCTGCCATGGCAAAATTTGAAAAGTGAATGGCACATTATGAAGGTCCTGACTTGAAACATATGGTGCCCAACCTTAATCCTGGAGAACGCGAGATCATACCTAATTTTCATGATGAATGCTGCTTCCATGCCAATGACAAGGTCAGGAATTTGTGGTTACAGAAAGGGGAGCAACCTTCACGGAAGAAGGGTTGAGGGTGCTTGATCCATGTCTCCACATTTATAAATCTGGAAACTGGATGCTTGATTTTGGAGAATGCTGAGGGGAAAGTGGTTCAAGATTCCACAAAAATTATATTTCCTGGGTCAGGAGGCAATGCCTGGTGGGATGCTGAGCAATTGCTTAAGCAAATGGAGCATGTGATGCAAATTTTTGAAGCAGCGCATCCTGGAAAGCAAAGTTTGTTCATCTTCGATCAGTCTTCTGCACATGCATCTCTGCCTCCTGATGTGCTCAAAGCTTTTGAAATGAATAAATCAGATGGAGGAAAGCAGCGCACTCAATGTGACACCGTCATTCCAATGACAAATCCTGCTGTGGAGCATTGCGGCAAACCGCAAAAAATGACACTGATGGATGGCAAGCCTAAAGGCTTGCAACGAGTTTTGGAGGAGTGTGGTTTCAAGGTTTCTGGGCTGTGCGCTAAGTGTTCTCCTGTTTGTCCGATTGATGACCAGAACTGCTGTTGTGCATGGCTTCTTAGTCAACAAGATGACTTCAAAAATCAGCTGTTGCTGCTCAAAAGTTTCATAAAATCACGAGGGCACAAGTGTATTTTCCTCCCAAAATTCCATTGTGAATTGAACCCCATTGAAATGGTGAGTGGTGATTTAAATATATTCACTAAGTAAAGTATTGACATAGTACTGGGGGTGGTGCAAGTACCACTATTGTGAAGTCGAGAAAAAAACCTTTAAAGAAGCAAAGGAAGCTGTGAACAAATACCTTGAATCATGCCCAAAAGAGGTCATTCCTTGATTTATCAACAGATCGTGGAGGTTCATGAGTGCATACCACCTGGGGTTGACAGGGCATGCAGCGACTTGGGCTGTTCGGAAGCAAAAGTCAGGGTATTTCCTTGTAATAGGAGGTGCTGAGAATCTCTGCTGTCACACCTTGTGGCCTCTCTCCTCTCAGAAGTGGGACATAACATAACTTTAACTTACAACTCACATTCCATGGTTGTTGTATCTCCCATTTACATGGTGATTTGCCTGTAATTGGGAGTTGATTAATTTACCACATTGGCCATTGGCCACAGAAGTACTGTGTATCCCTAGTCTTGCACCTCATGGCCTTCTGGTGTTATCCCTCTAAGACTGTCCTCTCGTGCTCTTGTACCTCTCCTCCTCTCATAGATATCAAGAACCTCAACGATCACACCTCCTGTTCATTCTTTCTTATTCACTACTGGTGATTGTTCTCTTTCGTCTTTAATCCCTCAGAATTTTCTTTTCTTGAGGATATTTCTTGGCTTGCTGATTTCTGTAATTGGGATGTTGCCTGGCCTCTGTCTATGAAATCAAACCTCTTGCAATTTTTTTTTTTTTTTTTTCAGTGCTATATCTGTTATAGTACTACATATATAGCATTTACACTTACTAGTTTGTATGTATTTAAAGAATAAGCACAAAGTGCATGTTTGTTTCAGTACTTTACAGTGCCCCACCTATTCCTGCAGGAATCCGGTCATTCCAGTGGAATTCTGGTGGATTCCTGTGGAATCATCTAAACTTGTGTGTTTTACCCTGTT